TAATTATTTATTTCACAATAATTAAAAAAAAATTTTTTAATTAAAATTTTGAAACATATTATCTTTAATGTATTCAGTATAATATTATAATGAAATTAAGGCTCTAGTAATTATTGTAACATTTTAGTAACGAATAATCTTAATTATTAGAAAAAAACAAAAAGTTTATAAATTTATAAATTTATTTCCAGAAAATGTAATAAAATTTAAAATTGCTGAATGTATTCCAATCGTTTTTATAATGTTAAAATTGAGAGAACAAAGTTTATTTTTTATTTCTGCAATAAATTGTACTAGAAACTTTCTTTCTTGCTTTCTCTAAATATCAAACATATACCTATCTTATTTTAAGTTCCAAAAATGTACACTAGTTCAACCACAGAAAACAGATCCCAAATTGGCTAATATCCAAATTTCATTTCTATCCTATGCAATATTTAGTATGTGTTACTTAATCTTTAGGCTCAGTTCCATTGATAATTTTAGTTAATTAGCTTTGGCAATGTTGCCATGATGTACCCTATATTACTAATCAGTGTGTATTTATAAAATTTATCTTTATATTATTTATTTTTAATGCAATAATCGATAAGTGGACATATCAAAAGAAGAAGTAACTTCAAATTCAAAAGTTCTCTATCTTTGTTGTCCTTATTTGTCTGGCAAAAGATCTAGATTTTATTCTGAACTTTATTAATTGGCATATATATTTAAGAGAAATAATTTTTCATTATTATTGCCTATTAAGGGCTTATAAATCATATAAATTCATAACAAAAAAGCTAAGATACTTACAAGGGATGTCACCCAACTGTTAAAAAAATTTTTTTTATTTTTTTGTTTAATTAACAAAAAAATTAAAGATTTTTTTTCTTCACGACATTGAAGTACTCTTGAAACCGTACAACTTTTGTTTAAAAAATTTTTTTCCATCTCTTATATTTCCGACGGTATTCGGCTCGAAATAGAAATACCATTTTTTTTCAAAGGGGTGCTACACATAAACATGAGTTAGCGCACGTATAAAAAAATACGTGATTCTTAGATTTTTAGTTTAACAACATATTTCACGGAGAATCAAATCGGTGCCGGACAGTTGGGTAACGTCCCTTGTTAGTAGGATTTTTACAAAGCCAAGAGCTTACTTGAAAGAATGTTTATTGAAAGTAACTAGTCCGCTTATAAAAATGGTAACTATATCAACATGTATATGCTGTTAAAAAAAATTTCTGTAAAAAGTATTTAGAAATCTATAAATCATTGTAATCTGTCAAATCCCGTCAAGTTCTAAACAACTTGTAATTATGATATATGACTTGTAAACCTTGCAAATTCTCTTAATCAAGAAGCATTGTTCAAATAATTGTTTTTAAAAAACGTTTACATTATATATTTGCAAGAAGTATTTAAATAAATTCTATTTTAAGTTATATTAATCTTCTCAGAAAAAAATGTGCCATACAAATAAAATCATACGAAAAAATGTATATAATTATTTATTAATTATAATTTAACTGAAGAGTTGTATTTGCCCCAATTAATTATTAATTAGACTAATAATGTAAATTTCTAATATTAAATATACAATGATAATAAATGCATCAATGATGAAAAATATTAATCTGATTCTTCAGATTCCAAATTTATACGAGTACCAAACTTCGCATACAATTGTGTTTTTAATTGAGACATGATTGTTTTTAAATCTGCACATTTGCCCTCTAATTTTGCAATCTCTTCTTTTTTCTTACTTTTAGCCTCTTCTAATGAACTCTAAAAAAGAAACTCTTGTTAATATTGATTGAGTAACTATAATTAAAAAAAAAATTACTATGCCATTGCAAAAAAGTAAAAATTAAAATATTTGAGATTTCTAATATAGATAATATTAAAAATCATTAAAATTAGCACATAATTTTAATCACCTGTGTTTTCTCAAGGAAATGATAGATGAATACTTCTCCAATAAAGTACGGTATTTTTGCATCGTCGTCCATAAGAGCTAGTTCGTCGCAAGCATCCTCCAAATTCTTCAGTTCATTCTGCCAATTGCAAATAATTAGTTAATGATAATAACAATAATCTTTATTGCACATTAGTGGTACTATTGTCCATAATGTATACAAAGTCTTGCATCGTTACAATGACCATATTTTCTTAAAGAAAATAAAGAACAAATCTGAAAATTTTAGGGCTTTGTTCCTACATGTTTTTAAACAACAAGAATCTCTGATAGCAAAGCTATTTCTGTCCTGCGGAAACAGATTTCAAGTAGGGCCTGATATCAATTTCTGATTGCAGAAAGGCAACAAATTATACCCAGAGTTTGTGTTATCTGACATTGTCAGCAAATTACTGTCAGAAATATGACAAAGCTTGCTAGACATGTTTTGCCAGCAGATTGGTAGCAGAAACCGAACAAAGTACTGCATAACCTGACGGCAGATTGAGAGCAGATTTGAGAACAGAAACTGAGAGCACCTGATTCGAGCAAACTCTGCTCGATTTCATCAATCTGCTAGCACAGCCTGTTAACAGGCTTTGTCGACAAATCCATAGCCGAATGTGAACACAGATGGTTATGGTTTTGTAGTCAAAATCCGAGTTTTTTTGCTGGCAATTTGGCTCCAGATTGTTAACATTTTGCTATCAGGGATATTGATTATGTAACTTTTTTTCTAGGCCAGAAACATGAAAAGTGAACATTTTTTGTATGTATGTGTGTATATGCATATACGGGGTGTCCGGAGAATCAAGGTCAATACTTCGGAAAGTGATTCGGGATCCAAAAAGGAAAAAAAGCTATATAGGTCCGGAAATAAATCGTTTCCGAGTTATAATTTTTATATTTAAAAAAATTGTAATTTATTTTTCATAATCACAATCATAATTTATTTCATAGTGTTTTAACATAGATAACTACATTTCGGACTATTTTGACGTCAACCAAGATGCACCACATGGAAGCATAATCTGCTTGGCATCCCTTTAGTAAAGTAAGAAAAATTTAAAAATAAAGAAATAAAAAAAGGATGCCAAGCAGACTATGCTTCCATGTGGTGCATCTTGGTTGACGTCAAAATAGTCCGAAATGTAGTTATCTATGTTAAAACACTATGAAATAAATTACGATTGTAATTATGAAAAATAAATAACAATTTTTTTTAACATAAAAGTGATTATAACTCGGAAACGACTTATTTCCGGATCTATGTTTATACAGCTTTTTTCCCTGCTTTTTGGGTCCCGAATTACTTCCCGAAGTATTGACCTCGATTTTCCGGACACCCTATATAAACTTACATACATAAGAATTTTTATTTTTTACGTTTCCGCTCTACAGAAAAAGTACATGATTATTGCGCAGTATAATCAAATTGAGATAATGCACACTGTTTTGATAATTTGAAACTGGTTCAACTGTATTACGACAAACCCTTGATCTGAAATAATAAGATTCGAAATAATAAAAAATAAAAACAACTCTAGTTTGAATGAATTTAATTTAGAAAATTAAGAAATATAATTAACAAAAACAAATTGTATTTATATGCATGAAACTGTAAAATATTTTCTGTAAAAATTTGTTCATTAATATAATATTATAGACATTGGAATGCTAGTTAGAAAAGAATTTTCCGTAATGTCAAAATAAAAGAGAATAAATGACGTATGGTCATCCTATGCATGACTAAATAAGGTCAACAATGTCTTAAGAAAAAATCGATCCTGAATTTCTTTAAACAGATTACCTGTTTTACTCTAAGTTCTTCTTTATAATCTTCCAACTTCGCATTTTGTCTAGCAAATTTATTAATTTTCTGTTGTTCCTCATAAGTTATATGAACATCGGAATCCTTGCAAAATATTATGAAATAGGTTAGATTGCAAATATGTGAAACAATATTGCTCCATATTTTCTAATATTTTCTATATTATTTTACCGGTTGAAATCCAGTTTGACTGTTTTTCCCTCCCGCCATATTTATATTCTTCTATAATCAGTTCAATTGTTGCATTAAATTAATTGTTTAAATTACTTTGGGAGATTGAATTTTCGAAACTTCGTGGGCTTGTGTTATGTCTCGAAAGATCACAGGCGTCCATAGCGCCATCTAGAATTTTGTCAAATAACTACGAACAACTAAAAACAATATGATGACTTTTCATGTGTTGTAAAGGCTTATTTAGAATTAATTATTCTGTATTTTTTTATTGTATCCATTTTATTAGATACAGATATGTATTATGTTAAAATATATCTATTATTCTTTGTAGCAGTATTAAGTTATATTTTCTGTACTTAAAATAAAAGGGAAAGGTATACAATATCAGAAAAAGGGAATGAAAAAGTATTAACTATTACAAAAAAAGATTAACTATGAATAGTTTTCTACACGCATACGCATTATGCATTGAAAATCTTTTTAAAAATAATTAACTTTTTGTGACTCATATGAATGATTTTTATATCTTACAATTTTATTTTTTTAGATAATTTAAAAATTGAAAAATTTTGTTTATATTCAAACATAAACAAGATGATAATAGTTCACAAGAAACATGCAGATCATCATGTATTCGTATTGTATATATCAAATTTATGAAATTTTATAAGATTTTTAATTTTAACAATAATAAGATTGAAAGACCGCTAATGTTAAACATAATAATTTTAAATTAAGAAGCGCCATAACGGTCAGAACGTTAAGATGTTGAACTATTGTAAATTCATTTAAATGAATTAATTTCAGAAATGATAATTGCGTGCCGATATGGTTGTCGGACTTTCAACGCAATCAAATCTGAAAATATTAATAATCCCCCCAAATTCCCCAACTTAAAAACTGTAATAAAACTTATTGCGAAAAATTTTAATTTTAATTTTTTATTAAGACTTATTAAAATTTAATTCCACTATTAGAAATAAATAAAGAATGAAATAAATAACAAACTGCTTTTAGATATTATATAATTATCTCTTATATTTATTTGCTGCAGTTTAATATACAATAAAATTAATTAACATTAATTCATTTTCCTGCTTTCAAATGTAAAATCTTGAATGCTGGATTCCTGAGTCTCTCTTTTCGAAAATATAGACTTCTGCAGCTTGCTGTGTAACATATATTCTCTGGCAGGTTTTAACTTTCTAGTTGGCACATTCTCTAATGCCTTTTTCCAATCTCCTGTGTGCCTCAAATCCAACATTACCTTAATCGACTGGTCGAGTGTAAGACTCTTTGACGAGCTAGTACCCCAAGTGAGATATTGGTTTATAGGAAATTTAGCCATCTGAATACCTTCTTTTTTAGCTTTTGCCAAAGATAATGGTTGTGAATCTCCCTATAAATGAAAATCCAATTTAATAAAGGCTATGCAATGAATGCACAAAGTCTTACCAGCTTACCTTGTCTACCAATGCACCTATGATATAAACCATATTTGGATCATATTTAGTCAAATTTGTTCTACAGTGTGGAGTGAGATACACTAATTGATTTTTCGGAAATATATCTAAGTAAGATTGCGATGTTATTGTGATAGGAAAATCTTCTTGCATCAAAGTAGGTATGTTTTGATGAAGATGATGCTTGAGTAATCCATCTTTGTTAAAATTACAGAAATAAAGACACAGAGGATTGGCATGGTTGCGATTATGAGCAAATGACAAAGCTAACTGCTTGCTGCAATTGTGTAGCTCACGTTTAGTCATGTGGTCCTCATAGCCACAATCAAACACTAGCTTCGGCTCAAACATCATATTCTGAATCAATCTGCCATTGTAATAGTGGTTTATAGTTGTTTCATATATACGCAAAAATAGTGAATTATACAAGAGGCCATATTTCATTTCATCGGTGTCCTCGGTCAATTCTTGCTTTTCGGCAAGCCATTTAGCCTTCTTCAACTCTTTCTTCTCCTTCTCATGTTCTGTTTTTTTCTCATTACGCCACAAGAACTGAAGGTATTTTCTACACAAAGAAACATGGTTTGATCAAAATTAATTCAAAGAGAACTTCTAATAAAGAACTTCTAATAAATAAATAGAAAATAAAATGCTGACTTTCTTTTTGTTTTGACCCTTGTATTTAGCAGACACAACCAATCTTTTGGTTCAATATTTTTAGGCACTCTTTCAGCATTGTGTCGCAAAACGTCTACTTCTAATTCTAATATTTGGAAACGCTTGTAATTATCGGAATCGGACAGAAATTCATCCAGCTCTTGCTTACTCAACTTTTGCCTATGATATTTCAACTCGGCACTCGTTACATTTTTCTCATCGATCGTATCATGACAGTAAAATCGTTTGTAAACTGCATTATTTGAATATTGAGTATTTACATTCGAAAAATGAAATCCAGGTGACAAAATATTCACATGGATCGATCGTATCAAAAATTTCCTGTGAATCCTAACTGAGGTTATCAGGCATTTTCTCATGTTATTAAACATTCTATAATAAAGGTAGTTATTACAATTTCTTATAACAACAATCGTCACTTTATCATAAATTGCGAGAAGAAAATTCTAATTTATTTTCTAACCTATTTAAACACAAAGTACTGCAACTGCAAAGTACGCTCGACACAGGTCAACGTGAGTCGCTACGTACAAATGCTTCGAAGCACTCTTTGATTGGCCGATTCGTAAAATTCTTTCTTCTGATTGGTAAACGGGGCATTGTCGAGTCAAGTTGGCCGCACCCTAGGCTGCGTTCGGAAATATCATCCGAGTGCCCCTCCCCTCGTGTATCGTTTTATCCTTGTTGTTCATCCACTGTTAAATAAAGATAAGATGATACACAAGGGCACTCGGATGATGTTTCTGAACGCAGCCCTAGATATTGCACGCAATGTGAATTCATCGTAACTCCTGATAGTCGGAAATCCACACCACAAGGCAAGAAAAAGAAAAGAAGTTTGTGCCGTTTGCGAGTGCTGGTGAGTGCTGCATATTAAACGTGTGCGGTGTGACTCTAGCAGTCTCTGTTGGAATCGTTGGGAATCCGATAATCGAACGAAAGGTTGGATTTATCACTTTATGTAAGATAGATAAATAATTACAACATCGCGAATGTGTTATCGCAATACGCTATTGTGGACTATTAACAAGGCGGAAATATCGTTCGGGATGCGCATTAAATGTTGCAATCGGTATTCGGATAACGGCCTTCGAGTGGCATGCAGGTCGTTTCGCTTGGATCCATGCCCTGTCATTTCATCTTTTTTTCTTTTTTGACCGAAATTTCACGATGGAAATCATTTTAAACTAATAGTTACTCGAAAAACAGTTATTAACAGGCTTTACTGTTCCTACGATTTTTTTGTATCCTCGCGATTATTTCTATTTTTAGGATCTCGCGTCATGTAACGATAGCCAACTAGTTACTAGATCATTTTATTATCTGATAACGATTTTTTTACGTCTTAAGTAATTATATAAATTGAAATGCAAACGTCCACGTGCTGATTTAGACTTATATGCATTGTTCTGATATCGCTTAACAAGATCTTGTATTACTAAATTAATAGAATATTAGAAGAATAAATTAATAGAAAGTTTTGAATATTTGTACATTACATTATCAAATTTGACAATTGTATTTTTTTTGCCAGATTCTTTTGTTTTATGCAAAAACGTGTCGAATTAGGTCAATTTCATTGGTTTTTGTGATTAAGCCTGTCTCCTTTATAATTACTATTACATTATCAAATTTTTGATATTAATAGGTAGAAGGAAACCATGCATAAGAATGGACCACCGCCGCCTTATGAACCACCGCCTTATGCACCGCCTGCTTACTCTCAAAATGTAGGAGGCGTCCCTCCAGCTAGTCCATTTACACCAGCGCAAACTTGTAAGTCAAAAAGACATTGAATTTATATTAATATAATTGGGAAAAATACATATTAATTATCTTTTCTATTAATTATCTTTACACTTGTTTTGCAGATGCAAATGGACCTACTATAGTCACGACTATTGTTCCAGTTGGACCACAGTCGACTCATACAATTTGCCCACATTGCCATGCTGAGATAGATACGGTGACAAAAACTGAACCTGGCATGATTGCTTATATCTCAGGTGTCATCATAGCATTGTTGGGGTAATTATGAGTAATATTCAGATTGCATTATGTTTATATAGATGTATATAATGTGTAATTATTTTCTCCTATATTAGATGTTGGTTTGGTTGCTGCTTGATTCCTTGTTGTATAGATGAATGTATGGATGTTCATCATACCTGTCCAAACTGTAAAGCTTATTTGGGTCGTCATAGAAGATAAATGGATTGCATCCACGTATTGCATTTGAAATGTCTACGATACCACTAATTATATATTAAACTTGAATTTCACTTCATACATTTTAGGGGATACCTCTATATGAAAGAGAAAGAAAGATATAGCTCCAATTAAATTGATTCAGTTAAATCTTTATAATGAAGGATGCATTCTTCTTGATTATTCAAGTAATTTTATAGTTCTGTATAATTTTTTAATATATATACATGTAGGGTGTAAAATATTTCATTTTAATTCGGTACAGTCGACCATCTTGTGAAAAGCATTTTCGAAAATAATATTTCAGACAAAAATTGTATAGAGAGGAGTAAATAATGGCAAAATCAATCTTTGAAAAAATGGATCTTGCAAAGTTGTATTGAAGGTCATAGCCATTTTTTGAAAGTGGAATTGTGTGATTTTTTTATATAGTATTTTTCTAGTTATTCTACATATAAAAGTATTGGAGTAGACAATAATAAGATTGGAAGCTTATGTTAAATACATTATTTTTAAACTTAAGAAGCGCCACTAACGGTCTGAACGTTAAGATGTTGAACTATTCTAAATTCATTTTAAATTAATTAAATTCAGAAATTATAATTGCGTGCCGATATGGTTGTCGGACTTTCAACGCAATCAAATCTGAAATATTAATAATCCTCCCAAATTTCCCAACTTAAAAACCTATAATAAACTTATTGCGAAAAATAATGCCAGAGATAAGTCTCTGTAGTCTAAAGGCTTAGGACGCTCGCACGGAATGCAAGAGATCCGGGTTCGACTCGCGGCCGAGGCATTATTTTTCGCAATAAGTTTATTATAGGTTTTTAAGTTGGGAAATTTGGGAGGATTATTAATATTTCAGATTTGATTGCGTTGAAAGTCCGACAACCATATCGGCACGCAATTATAATTTCTGAATTTAATTAATTTAAAATGAATTTAGAATAGTTCAACATCTTAACGTTCAGATTGTTAGTGACGCTTCTTAAGTTTAAAAGTAATATTAGAGTAGAGTTATTAAAAAATCTACAATTTTTTTACGAATATATTTTTTGAAAATGTTCGTAAGAAATCTATTTTTGTGAAAATTGATTCTACCATTATTTATTGTCTTTCAGACCGTACAACTTTTGTTCAGAAATTTTTTTCGACGTCAAATTTAAGAGATACACTGCTATTTCCATTAAAATAGGACACCCTGTACATATACATATGTAATTTTATTGCATACAATTTATGTGTGTTATTTGTTACTTTTTGTACGGTTTTTAAAAATATTTTTCATGTTTTTGCATGAAGCTAATGAAAATATTGGGTTTTTAATAGCAAAAAGCATGTTTCAAAACATTTATGTATAACTTTTAAAAGAAGAGAGACAGACTTGTACTTCCATATCAATAGACAAGATTTGTGCTTCCCATATTTATTTCCATTATTAACGTAATGTTAACGTAGACTGTCTACAGCATTGATTTTTAAAGATTTATTATATTATTAATCATAATTTATGTCAGTTTTGGGAGCAAATGTTATGTTTATGTGTAAAACAGAATGTTAAGATTAATTATGAAATTGATGATAGGCAGCAATATGTATGTGTGCAGCTCATATCTTTATTCATTGAGGCGTCCAACTTTACAAAGTAACGAATCATACATATTAATAAATTTTCTTTATAAAGAATTGGATCATGGCAAGTGAAGATTATTCGCAATAATTTAATCTATATAGGGTAACTCCGGTATATACGCCGCA